CGAAATGAGGCGCGCCCAAACACATGCAGCACAAGTGAGAACAGACCGAAACTCTAGGAACTGAGAATTTAGGAAAGTGTTGTACGTGGAGGGGTTTTTCCTTTGCTTCATCAAACTTTCGCTTTAAAACTTTTTCAGAAAAATTCAGCAGTTTTCGTAAATATTCATAATTTTCTTCACAAGATCATGTAAATACTCGGATGACTCGTTTATACTTCATAGGATTTCATAATTCACCAATCTATTCGGTTTCCTCCAGTATTTTTTTTATAATTCTTCGTTCTTCCTGCTTTCCATAGATTAGCATTTGATTTAAAATTGGCGAACGTAAACGAAATATTCTTGCAAATCAAGCAGCGATTTCTCAACTACAATCAGGAAGTCCTGCCACGGTTACGTTTGTGTTCGGTTTTTATCATCCGAACCGAGAAGAAACTGTTGTGCTGCACCTTTCACCGATCGACATTTTCAAGTATCACTACGAAATCCATAATACATAATAGCATAAATCAAAATATCGGAAGCTGATATAATTTGCGGCAAAAAGTCGTCCCGTTCGATAGAGGATGAACGCGAAAATGTGGATTTATGGACTGGCTTACCAGCCCCGGAATGTGCCGCAGATATGAAAGTCAAAGAGATGTGAAAATGGAAATTACGCGTGTGAGGATGTGCGTGCTTGTAATGGCCAGTTTGAAGTTGAATTGATGCAGCGACAAAAGGGCAGACATTCATCATTAAACCACAACTTGAACAAACAACAAAATTCGCCCAGCTTGAATAAGTGAAAACTGAATTTACATAACTGCAATCATAAAGTCACTGTATGTTTATAAACGAATTTAAATTACTTTCTTCTCGCCATTCTGATAACCAATTGGTGTTTGCTTATTAATGTAACCGTGGCTTTTACAAAACGCATGAATTAATGAGTTATCCAATCCAATATCGACCTTTCACTTTATCGCCATAATTAGTTCAAAGATACGAGTTGATTTAATGTGCTTACCTTCACCTACTATTTTTTATACATACACGGTTTCACCAGAAGCTCAAAAATGCCAAATTAACATCATGCTGTATCTGAATGGGTCAAGAAAGATGCATTTGCTTTCACGCTAATTACCGCCTTAATTAACTTGCTTTTGTAGAGTAACCATGCTGCTTAAATTATTTAAACCAATGTTTGTTGTAATTTCCAGTAAATAAATAGTTTGTTACTGGACGTTGAAGCCTCTTATGAATAGTAGCAGAAGGATTGCGCACTCTCCCATGAAAAACTGTATATATTCGGATGTGTTAAACAACCTGTGGCGTGGAAAAAAATGTTATTCTTCAGCTATTGTTCACATGTTATAGCAGATAGTCGAGATTTTATGTAATTACATGTTTGAGCAACAAATTAGACTAAAGAAAACATAATGCAGGGTCATTCAAAAACGTCGTCATTTCCTTAAAAGAGTTCACTTGCAGAAAAATGCAGGAAAAATTGATTTTTGTTTATTTATTGAAAATTTAATGGGAGCTGGTATTAACTATAATTGTAAGATTTAAGAACTAAAAAATGTCTGGTACAATTGCAGTTTAATTTTGCAATGAAACGTGTAAAAAAGTGTCAGCGGAAATTTTGTGTGAAAAAAAATATGTTAATTATGGGATTTTAAATCCTTATAGCATCCATAACAGCACTTAAAGTAGGGTAATCATACGCATGAGATTTGCTGATTTGCTCAATTAATAATTGCGATGTCTTGTCTTTAATTGAAGTGGTTGAAGAGGTCCAGTTTTAGAAAAAGGCTCGGTTTTAACGTCGTCTTGGCATTGCAGCAAGAACCTTGCAAGTTTTGTGATTTCCGTTTTAATGAAAAAGTTTTCGAAAAAACAAGCTATTAATTTTTTCGACTTCCATCCGAGTCCAGAACTTTTTTATGGGCATATGCGACATTCTAGTCGAACTCGATCGAATCGAATATTCTCGCGGACCTAAAGTTTTCGGGTGTATTTTTCTTCCGTCCCATTTATGACCCGAAAAGCCCGAATAACTACCCGAAAATCGCTCGAAAGTGAATCGCAACTGATTTTAATTCAGGACGTGTCCCAGAGAATATCGATGGACATTTCTTATATTTAATGGCCAAATAATTATTGAGGTTTTAGGACAAAAACCAGCATTGCTTCTCAGTTGTGCACTTATTGTGAACTTTACTGCCTTTAAAACGCAAATATGTGTTTAATAAAAAGTGCATTAAGTATGTTAATTTCATCCAAGGAATTCAGGTTAAATTTTGGCACAATGGCCGCATAACCTTTGGATCGCGAACATGATAAATTGCACTCCTAATAGTATTCCATATAAGAAAACTCGCATAAAGAATGTATCCTAGCCTAGGAGAGGCTCGCCCCTCCTGCCAAAGCGCTCGTAAACCGTCAAATTTATAGTTTATCTTATGAGAACGAATCGCCGTTGAAAAACTTGAATTCAATTGAATATTTGGTCCGGTCAATGGGAAAAAATCTCCCAGCCTTGAATCCGAATGATTTCGGGTCAAATTGAAATGAAATCAAAAAAGGCCAGTTGTGAATGATTAGTTTCTTTCTGGTTGGCTTCACTTTTCACCTAATCCCCAAAACCCTTTACGATAAAAACCACTTTTTCAATAAATCCATCAAACGCCCCCTTTCTTTCAAACTTTCACGCCCAAATGACTTTCAAAATCCTACACGACGCTTGCCTTCCAAACTTTTTTTGCCTTTTTAATTCTTTATAGGTACACTAATTTGAGCCCGTATCTCGGTCGGATCGACATTTATTTTTCAGCATCCAGTGTTACGGGGTCTTGTCACTGCATACCTTGCCTTATCTTTCGGATGAGATCTTTACGCCCATAACATCTCGGCCGCTGATTAATTTAATTATTTTATGCGCTGGTAAAATAGCCCATAGCATTTCGCGGAATGGTTATGAATAATCATGTACCCAAAAATCCGTCTACTGTGCTCCATACAGTAATGCACACTTATAGATTTTTATTGGAGATTACCGATTTTTTTATTCTATTGAAGCAACAACTTTCATTGCAGTGCAATTATTTTTTTACAAACTTCTTTTTGGGTATTTCGCCTCAAAAATTTTTGTCTTTAAAAAAGACAGAATTTCTTCACGTCTTTTATTACAGATTGATAA